TGCTACGTTTCTGTGAGTGAATAAGTCTTTGTATCAAGATTCACCTGAATTCAGTTCATGTCCTCGAAGCAAAACATACATAAAATCGCACCCCAAACCTTTCACGTGCAGAACATGTGCTTATCAACAGAAAATACTATTTCCCGATCCTCCATAAACACCTCACATGCTGTGCACAGAGAAGCCTCCAGTCTCCACCCAGTCACTGCAGTGCAGCAGCTTATGTGACCTCATCTTACTCTGAGGAGTGAAAACAGATTTAGCCAAGTTAGAAGCAAGTGGTTTTATCTAGATGGACTTTTTGTCTATAAACAGAGTTTTTATGTGTAGATGAGTGGCATGTGTATTTGGGGACACAGACTTCTATTTTCTTAACATTTTTCATAATTTCTACTATACAAGGTGTGTCAGAAAAGTTCCAGGACTGGTGTCACAAAAGATTTATTTCAAATCCAAACTACCAGTTTTCCCCTTCCATGTCATCCTCCTGGAGTCTGACACACTTCTCCAGCCTTCTCTTCACGCCGCCATGCACTCCTGGAAGGATTCTTCCAGGATCCTCTCAGCTCCGTCGTCACAGCCATCTTGACGTCGTCCACGTCTTCTAAGCGGGTCCCCTTGATGACCCCCTTGAGCTTGGGGAAGAGGAAACAACCCCACGGAGCCAGGTGGGGTGAGTAGGGAGGTTGCTCCAGCACGGAGATGTTCTTCTCAGCCAGGAGCTGTGGGATGCTCAGGGCGTTGTGAGCAGGTTGTCATGGTGAAGCAGCCTCCACTGCTCCTGATACAACTCTGCCTCTTCTGAACGAAGCAAACGCTGCAGGATGTCTTTGTGCTGGTTGATGGTCTGAAGTTTGTAGTTTGGGTTTGAGATACATCTTTCATGACACCAGTCCTGGAACTTGCCTGACATACCTCGTACTGTGTGTGAGTAACGACTTGGTAACTTGGAGCAACATCCACATTTGGCTTTATTATGTTTCCTTATCGATGGTATTGGGTTGACGTGGATTTTGGGTTTGAAATTCTGCGTAAATGTGATCAGAAAGAAAAGGTCGGAAAAGATTCAGGCACAGATTTTTGAGTTTTTGGCCGATCTTAGGTGTTGAATTCGGATCTTGTTGATGTCATTTTTTAACGTCTTGCTGACACGATGTGCTCATCTATCTAATATCTTGTCTGTTCACATTAAATCTGACTGTCGTTCTTCCTTCGCAGCCTTCCCAGTGACCATCGTCCAGAGCCTGCCTAACGTCGCCCTGCTGCTGACGGCCCACGGCGGACACATCGCCTTCTTGCAGGGTTTGTTCCCGCGAGGCGAGAGCTACATGGAGCGCCTGTTCAGCCAGTTCGTCCAAGCCGTCTTCGAATACCCGAGAGACATCGAGAGAGCCTGCAGCGTCAGAGGAGAGCAGATAAGCGAGTAACAGAATGACTGCGACGCCCGTAGAATACGAAGCCACTGACATCCTAGCAGTAGAACAACAGTTCACAAGAGTGCATTGCTTAGCTTTGCATGCCGTTACACCCCACCACACCAATCCTGTGTCTTCCTCACGTTTGCAGGGAGACGACCAACTGTATTGTGTGATTAGAAGACCTCACTGCAACTCCGCTAATCTACCTCATCATCTCAGGTTCACTTTAGATAAGCAATCGAAGAAGATTTAAAAAACAAAAAAAAAGAAAAAAAGTAAAAAAAAAGAAAAAAAAAAGAAAAGAAAGACAATGAATTCTAAGCTATGGAAGCCGTTTTCCAAGTATTTGAAAAAATAAAATAAATTGAGCATCTGAAAAGCTCAACACATGATAAGAAGATATAGTTTTTTTAAATTATTTGTCCAAAAAAAAAATGTTGACTGCTTTTAATTGTACATTTATTAGACAAGCGCCGTCCCAGCTGCACAGCTCCTATGGTATGAAGCACTGTAGTGTGTGTAGAAAACTAAACGCTAACTAAATGAAGATGGGTGCTTTGAGTTTGAACACTACACAAAAAAAAAGAACCAATGAACTGAATGTAAAAAAACAAAACCGAGCAGTAATGTTGTTGTTGTCCTCTTGATAAAGGTGTGCTCCTTTCTTTTGCCTCATGTACTGCTTCTGATTTTGCAAGACATGTAAAACATTCTCTGAAGGTTTATAGTCGCCCAGATTAAAGCTTTGCATGCTTTTGCAGTGTGCTTGGGTGGAACACAAAATATACAGAGATAAATAAGCTGACAATGTAAAAAAAAAACAAAAAAAAAAAGTGGTAAAGCTCACTGTGGTACTTCAGATATTTGTACCTGCTGTCAATAATTTTACTATTTGTTGTTTTTGAATTTAAACTGATTATAATCTGCCTTTTTTTTGTCATATGCGCACATTGTTTAGGGACTCGGGAGCAGATCAAGGAATGTCCATCATGTCAAGATTGTAGCTACCTGATAATTCTTTGTTGTGTTGCAGGAATTTGACTTGAACTTAATCACAGATTGTCAGTGTTTTTACAACAACCAGGTCAGTATGTAGAGTAGAGAATATGCAGAATATTTACGTTTGTGTTGGTGCACTGATGATGAATCCGTTTTCTTGTGTTCATTTACAATCCGTGTCATTGTATTAATTGACTCTTAATGGTTCCCCATTAGGAGTCAATTCATACGATTCTGAGTTTATTAAAATGATAGCAGCTAACGTTGCTAATTGTTGGCTTTTAATTAGCAGCACGGTTTTAGTTCCACCAGCTACTTGCATATGTTTACCGCCTTCACTTGCCTTCGATCGCTCTGTGATGTGACACTTTTGTAATCACAGTGTTTTCGCAATATCAATTGTTGTAACAGTCGGGCATTATTCATGATGTTTTTGGTTGTTTTTATTTAATTGCACTTGAATTAAAGAATGACAATGATACAATTTCAAATTCCTGCTTGTGATTTTACATCTACAAAAGTGTCCTCGCTGACCCCCGGCCGCGGTCAGTAGCAACGTTTGTTTTGCTGAATCAACCGGGTTGTTCCTAAATGGAAAACCGCCAGGACGCATGCACGACCTGTCGCTGAGTCCGAGTGGGGGCCTTTTTATCTCGGAGCGGCCGGGGTCATTAATGTCGCTGATTAACCAGAAAGATATCAATAATTAACCGCAAACAATAAAGGCCCACGCCCTCTGTCACAATTCTAACCCTCCAACCCTCATTTACATTCATTTGCTGCCTGGAAAACATTCGGTGGCATTTAGTCTGAAAATAGAAACCTGTGAAAAGGAGGCATTTTCCGACTCGGGTAGATGTAATCTGCGAGTCGCCCTCGTTGCCCTCGGCTTCGATAATTCCCCAGCTGTTCCCTGAGTGCGTTCTCAGGGGGGAAAGAGTGTTGGTATTTTCGTCAGATTACAGAAATATCAAGGTAGAAGGAACAAATAATGCTTTTAATTTACTTTGCATCTTTTATAATGATTTCTCGTGGCTCCACTTGTTATTTACATCAGCGGACCATAATGCATCACCACCTTAATGGAGCAGAAATCACTGATCTTTCAAAAAAAAAAAACATACACATGAAATATGAATGAAGCCTAAAGTTATTCTGCTGGAGCAAAAAAATCTGTTTTCAGTGTGAATAAAATACCAACACGGATTTTTACACCTCTGCCTCAGTCGTCTCCTCGCTCCATCCTCCTCCTCCTCCTCCTCCTGCTCCTCTCTCTGCCTGTATTCATCTACCTGGTGTGATGGGAGGAGCCTCAGGTGATGGTTAATGATTCAACACCAGAGCTGCTGAGATTGACAGATACAGAAAGAGGAAGGAGGAAAGATTGAGAGTGAGAGAGAGAGAGAGAGAGAGAGAGGGAGAGAGCTGGAGAGAAGTAAAAATAGTAAATCTGAAGACATGGCAATGTAAGCTGAGAAAGTGTGCAGCAGGAGAAGAAAAGGAAGAAGTAATGCTAGAGAGGTTGCAGAGTGCATGTTCTGTGTCTGCTCAGGTGTCTCCAGACCGTCTGCGGGTCAAACAGAAGCTACATGCAAAGCGAATGCTTCTCTACAGCTGAACATTGTGAGCAGTTCAGGCTTTTTTTTTATTTTTGTGCTTCCTATGATCCATGCGGCCTTAACAGGCTGGACTCTTCTTCTCTCCTGACCACACACTGCCTGCAGGTGAGTCTGTTCACCTATTTATTACAACGGCGTCTTTGAGAGTTGGATAATATGTAGAAAACCCTCCTCAGGCGTTTGTCTGTGCTCAGAATGCACATTTTAAAGTGCGTCTGTTTCAGGCACAGATTTGCAGCTTTTGTTTCCTCAATTATTAACATCACAGCATTACGGTTTCATATAACGACGAGGATTTGCAGGAAAGAGTTCAGGGAAAGAGTGCATCTTAAACAGACCCGTCTAGACTCCAGTGTTCTGCCCAGGTTTCTATTACAGTGCACCTTATGAGGATTCAGCTGTAGTTACACATGGCCATGAATTAATAATGAAGCAGTATGAAGTGTACAGTACGCCGGCTGTATCAGTATGAGGGCAGCGAGCATCATGTTCCTGCTGTGCAGCTGAAAAACAGACACAAATGCTGCTTTTTCTTCAGTTGCCCCATTTCCTGGCCTCTCCCACGATCATTTGCTGGATGCTTTTATGATTGTTGTTGACTTCAAAAGATCATTCAGTCTTTTTTTTACAGTCGATCTAATATGGCCGAAACACCTCACTTGTACGTCAGCACATGAAAAACTAAACGGCGAGTACACGACCAGCAGCGTGAACTCGATCCTTTCACCCGCCCCAGGCTCAGCAGAGTTAAACTGAGGGCGGTTTTCCTTCATTGAATGTTGACCGGCACGCACTAAAGGTTATCATCTCAATCTGCACGCTTTGTTTTTCCTTTTAGCTGCAAGTTCCTAGAAAGCTCACAAATTGTGTTTGTGCGCAGCTCTGTGTGCGCTGGTGGCAGGTTAATAAAACACCCCCGGGGCAACTCTGACTTCCTCTTGCAGCACATAAGAGCCATCGGTAAACTTTTAAAGACCATTAAGCTTTGTGTTTCTTGCAGGACAAGCCTATTAACACTGCAGTGGCATGGCTGTACTGTATTATGACACTGATGCCGTCTTTGATATTAGATCACTGCTCAGTGGATCTTGTTTAGGAAATGCTGTAAAGGTTCTCAAGCTTGTAATCCAACTCTTTGTCCGACCATTTTATACTTCCCTGCCACAGTTTGCTGGTCTATTGCTTTGCTCTGCCACTTTATGATTTACTTTGACATCAAGTCTAATCTCAGAGCCGTCCAATGTTCAGGGTGAGGCAGCAGTAACTTGGAGTCACGTGATGTGTACGTTGATCGTCGCAGGCAAACAGCTCGGGTTAATTGGATGCATGTGTGTTAAGTAAACTTGTGTTTGTTTCGCCCGTCGACAGAGCGGCCAAAGAAAAACACTAAAGCTACCTTGGTGACAGAGGAAACCTGAGTGAAGAGAAGCTTTAGATCTTTAACTTCATTGTAAATCTCCTGCAGCTGGTCATGAATCTGTCGGTTAATTCGTAGCACGCACAAGTTTTTCTAGAAACACTAATGTTGAGGTCTCATATTATGGCAGCAGCACAGAAGAAGAAAAACAAGATCACAGCCTGCAAAAAACCCCTCACTGATGATGCAGGTTTTTATGCTTCTTTGACAGGCTTTGTGCCGTTACATGTTACAGGAACAGTAACAGATCTTTAGCGAGAGCCTGCAGGGTGCGACAGCATTCAGAAAGCACCCTGTTGACTGTCCATCATTAGTCTGCATTATTCAGCGGGACTCTTGCTGTGTGCAGGCAGCCGAGTACAGCTCAGTGCCGTGTGAGAAAAATAATAAAGGCATCAGCACAGTTTAAATATGATATTTAGGGGTTGGTTCATCCTCACGCACATCACCACGTTTAGTTTGTGTTCGGATGCACATTTTAAACGCATTCTCTTCTTAATGCATCACATTCCTCCATATATCCTCATTTAACATCTTCTTTCTTGTAGCTATGGAGAAGCAACTGGAGGAGCTGAAGCAGCAGCTGGAAAAGCAATGTTTGATCAACCAGGAGCTGCAGAGGCAAAACAAAGACCTGGGTGAGTACAATTACAGAGCAGCATGAAGAGTGACTTTTGTGTTTGATGCTTTATGGCCTCGATTGGGTGAAAGGTGTGAACCACGCCCAGCATCGGGGCTGGATGTGGTCCAGCTGTGATGTGACAACACCCAGCTGTGCCGAGTTGTACTTTTACACCATAACACATGTTGGGAGACTTCTGGAAGCTGCATGGAAAGACGGTGGAGTAGAAATAATGCTTTAATTTTAAATTCGGCCACATATAAAGCCCGTTCTATGAAGTTTATGTGTGCATTGGAAAGTGGATAAAGAAGCAACGGGTGGCTAATAACGCTTAATATTGTATACTTAACTTACTTAGTTTAAAGGTCCCATGTGGGTAAAATTGTGTTACACACTTGGAGTGGTAAAGTAAAAAGCCATGCACACCCCCCGTCTGAGGAACTGAAAACTCATTGGAGCACTTTTATATCTGATCCCAATGTCACCACAATGCGGCTAACGCTACTATAAGCTGTGATCCTCAGCCCACAGGTCAGAACTATGTGGAAACCTTAACACTGATTTGACACAAACAAGGACTGGTTGTGTTGCTGTGCTTCCCCGTTGTGTTGTGCTTCATTGCAACCTAATCTTGGCCAGTGTTTCCATCTGCTGGCTTCTCTCCTGTGCTCACATATGCTAGACTTTAATACAAATTTCCAATACAGCTGTCATTTATATATTATTCTCAGACAACAGAGCGAGTGCTTTGGATGTCTTGTGCATGTTTAAGCTTGTGCGCTGGACATGGCTCTCATGCTCCCATGACGTCATCAGCAGGACTTTAAATCAATTTAATGGTAGCAACCCATCGTTCCCCAAAATGCCAAATATACTAGAAGCAGTGTCTAGAAAGCACAGAAAATGTACTTTTACCTGTAAAATGACTCATATATATGGTTAAAAAAGGGAATATCTGTCAATATACCATAACTGGATGTTACAAATTCTACTACATAATTATCTGTACTTGACTCAAAACTCCACTATTGGTGTGGGTATGTGTTCTCAATTATGTTTTTAAGAAAGCACCCCTTCTCTTGGCAATGTCACAGTATGATGTAGTTATAAACCTTTTAAACTACACAGCTCAGATTGGTTGGATTGCTCGTGGTGGAGACTTCGGAGCATCATTTGCAGACTTAAAGTCTCTCTCATCATTCATCAACCCCAAAAAACGATTTATCAAAGTGTTCTACGAAAACAATTCTTTCTTGACTTAGATGTGAGTGTACGCCATCGCTTCCATTAGAATGTGTAGATCTATAAAGTCTCTTTCTCCAGCCACCCATTGCCACTCCAGCACACCAGCTTACTTATGACTCTGCACTGTAAAGCTACTCTATGACACACAACGGGAAGTTGTCTGATTGGGGTAACACATGCGTAAGCTAGAAACTGACTCTGAGGAAGAATCCTGATACGTGAAGCATCCTGGATGGATTCTGTAGGTTAGTTACACGTGAAACCCTGAAAGTCAGAATGCATGTTTCTGAGATCGTCATTGGTAGTTTCAAAGTGGTGAAGCCCAGCCTTCCTGTTGACTGCTCGTTTCATTCATGATGTGTTTAAAACATATAAGAAACACCACATGAACATGCTAACATGACAAAACCCTTGACTGACACCAGACAGGCCAGTAAGTTTTGTTTTTACTCACCGTTTGGTTTCAGTTTAGAGGCCAAGGTTACATTTATGACAATATAATGCTTTGAGTTACGATTGACTCCTTCACTACGTTTAGAGGAATGCACTGTTTGATATCACCATAGCTACACATTTCCCATCAGTGTCTGCTGGGAGTCCAGCTGGACAGCAGGCTGGACTGGTCCAGTGTGCAAGAAGGGACAGAGCAGACTGTACATCTTAAGAAGGCTGAGATCCTTCAACATCTGCAAGCCTCTTTTGTGCTCCTTCTACCAGACTGTGATGGCCAGTTTTTGGTGTGGTGTGCTGGGGGGAGGAGGCTCGCACTGCAGAAAGAATTAGACTCAATAAACTGATAAAGAAGACGAGCTCCATCACCCGGGTTGAACTGGACACAGTTGACTCTATAGTGACCAATGAGCACCTTCAGGCACAGACTGATTCCTTCAAAATGCAGGACTGAACGCAACAGGAGGTCCTTCCTGCAGCAGCCATCAGACTTTATCATGTGCAATAAAAACCACATGGTTGCATAACTATGACACTTTATGCACATATGTTTTAAAATCCATCTTTGCACAGTCGAACATTTGCACACTGGGTACCTACCGTAAACTACTGAACGCACCTGAATATAAGCCGTACCCACCAGCTTTAAAAAGAAAACCAGTTTTGTACATATACAGGCCGCACTTGTCTACAAGCTGCAGGTGTCCACGTTGTCACATGAGATACTTACACAGAAAAATGTTTTTAAACTTTTATTAAATACGTACCGGTAACATACACAAATATGTAGATGCTTTTTTCCAAACAGAGCCTGTAACACGGCTGGTTAAGAAAATAAAAACTACAGCAGCCTACCAGGAAAAGTCGTTGATCGCTATCTTCATCTTCCTCCTGAACACTAAAATCACTAAAGTCGTCTTCTTCAGCCTCAGAATTACTTCATCACTTCCTCAGTCTCTCTTTCGTTGTCGCTCTCGATGTCACTTTCTTGAGGAAAATTTGTAAAAATCCATAAATTAGCTGCATCGTGTTTAAGCTGCAGCGTTCAAAGCGTGTGAAGGAAGTAGCAGCTTATAGTCCAGACATTACGGTATTTATTTATCTTATTTTTTCTTATTTTATCTTGTATATTTTGTATATTTTATGTGTGCCTGTGTTTTAATGTAGCTGCTATAACAAACTAATTTCCTGTAAAAGGATCAATAAAGTAACTATTCTATCCAATACAGGGTCTAAATCACGGTCACACATAACAACATATCACTCGTGGTGTGTCGCACGCTGAATGTTTCCCTGATTTTGTCTCCACAGAACAACGACTGCAGGAAAAAGAAAAACTTCTGCAGGAACTGCACAGTCAATACCATGATCTGGGTAACACGGTCACCGGGGACAGGGACTCACATTTCTACATATACACGACCGGTGCGGATTTTAATGGCGATCTTTAACCCTCTGTTTGTTTTGGTCTGTTTGCCGCTCCAGAGTTCCCCTCTCAGAGCGGTAATGAGATTGAACCGGAGGTCAGGAAGAGCCGTGCTGCTGTCATAGCCCCCGAACCGATCGCCGAGACCCTGGAGATCACACGCACCAGGGTCAAGAAGACGGCCAGGTCAGCAGCTAATTGCTTCTTGTGTACATGCACGCTTTCTGGATCTGTGTGTTGCATTGGCGTGACTTCTTTCACCTTCCATCGCCAGCGAGACGAGTCTGATTGTCAAAGCTATCCAGAAGAACGATTTCCTGAGCCGCCTGGACGAAGAGCAAATAGCCATGATGGTGGATCTCCTGATGGTTTCTAACTTCAAACCCGGGGACGAAGTCATTAAAGAGGGTTCTGAAGGAGACCGGATGTACATCGTGGCAGGTGGGACGCGCCTGACATCTGTCTGGATTGTTGTGATGGTTCTGTTAGGATTCATCCAGTTCAAACATAAACACTGCTGTACTTATAAAAAGCTTTTTTATTTTTGTGGTGTTTGTTTCTGCTTGTAGTCGGCGAGCTCCTTGTCACGCAGGCAGGCCGAGACCTCCGAACTGTAACCACTGGTGATATTTTCGGAGAGCTGGCCATCTTGTACAACTGCAAACGGACGGCAACGGTAAAAGGTCAGCGTCTATAATGATGCCTCCTGGAGGTATTTGCAGATTTACTGATACTGTAGTTATAAATATTAGAACTGATTTATGCATTGACCTGAGGCTTTGGTCGATGCTGAAGTTTTTGGCACATGTTCAGCGTCATTTGGCTGAAGACCAGAGGTGACCGGGCCTTTTCTGTAAGAGCCCCCATCCTCTGGACCAGCCTCCCTGATGAGATCAGTTCTGCAAGCACTTCATCCTCCTTTAAAACTGTTTTAAAAACAGATGTGCTTTTACAGGAGTTGTTTTATGAGTGGACTTTTGATGGCAGTATTAAGGGCAGTACACTTTATCTTCTAGCTGTTTTATTCCTTCCTTTATTGTCTTTTAATTGTCTTCTTTTACTGGGTTTTATTTTTCTTATATGTTTTTATATTGTTTTATTGTCTTTCATGCTTTATGTGTTTCACCTTCACCATTTTTTAGGGATTTATTTATGTATTTTTTTGCCTTTTACTTCTTTTAATGTTGTTCTTACACTTCTCTTTGAATCTGTACAGCACTTTGTAACCCTGTTTTAAAAGGTGCTATATAAAGTTTTATTATCATTATCATCATTATTATTATTATTATAGAGGCAACATTTTGATTCTTTCAGTCTAGATTTGAACCCATACCAATGCCAGCTTCCTCTGGTTAGCTAAAGACGAGCTTGTCTGATAGAAGCACAGTAATGCACACAAAGCAAAAGAAATGCCTCAACTGACAAAGTGGTGGCATCCTGACGTCAACAAACTGAGTCACCGAAGTGTTTATATCAAGTTAAAAGTGATTAAACTAATGTGAGTATCTTATTAGTAGAAGGAAGTTCAGTATGAATTATGTGGGGTTGATCATACCCTACTGAGAGAGCAGCACTATTTTCTATTAATACAATGCTGCCCGTTTATTAGCATATCCTCAGTCCAGGATGGAATTATGACTACATCCGGGATATTATGATAAGGGACAGTTTGTTTGAAGATCAAGAAGCAGATCTCAGGTGAGCTGGTAGCTGACAAACAAAGTAATTGCACGGCTAACCGGGGGTGGGATAATCTGCCAAGCTTGGCTCATGGGTCGTAAGGATCGACCAACCATGACTTTAAATGGGCAAAGTTGTTCCTGGAATCAATTTTGACATTATTCTATGACGGTAAACGGGCTGTTTTACTATAAGTTATACAGGAAATGATTCAGGACTTTGTTGTTGTGTGACATAAGCAGGCACCACTGTAGTGTCAATCCCTAATCGTACGCTCATGTTGCAGCAAAGACAGTGGTGCATCTGTGGTTCATGGAGCGACAGACCTACAGAACCATCATAACCAACAAGTCCAAGAAGAAACGGGAGCAGCTCATGGGCTTCCTGAAGACGTGAGTTTAAACACTCTGCACCGGGTTTGAGTTTAATATCAGATACCTCAGATCTTGGTGGTCAAGTGTTGGACCACATGACCCCTTATTGAATGAATGTTCTGTCACAGGTCTCGCACTCTGAAGGACCTGAATGACGTCCAGCTGTCCAAAATCATTGACTCCATGGAGGAGGTGTGTACCAGCAAGCGTTGTCTTGTGAATAAACAATAAAATCCAGTTTGTAAGACACATTTTATGCCACACACGAATTCAAACAAACAATCGGGTCCATCAGTAGTTGTACTGTGACACAACTTTGTGCACCACCACCGTTGTGTAGAAATGAAGTGATCACGATGAAGTGGAGGCTTTCAGCTTTAAATCGAGGGGTTGAACAGAAATATTGCATTAACATGACGGTATCTCTTGATTGTAGACTTTGGCGGTGATACACACACCTCCTTATTGTCTTAACTTAATGCTGTAAAGTTGGTTTTCTTCAGTGATCATCCACTTTAGCTGTCTTTAGGACTGTTGGTGTCGTTGCTTTCACTAGTACATTCATTGGACACTCCTTTGAGTCTCACGATGGCGTCCATCACGTGCATCCACGTCTATCTGGCCTGCATATTGACATCTCCAATTAACAACAACTCAAGCAACATCAATATGATATTAAGTTTGCACTTCGATCACGTCTTGACTGCTTCATTTCAGATCCGCTTTGGAGGTGTACAAAATTACAAAAGACAGTATCATTGTGTCACGAAGCAAAACACAACGTTGTTCTGATGTTCCTTGAAATACTGACAGTTTGAATTGCAGTAGCCAGGGTTAAAAGTGAAGTTTAGTTTTTAAAAGCCCTGAAATTACAGACAGTCAATTGATGTTCTTTAATGTTCTTGTCTTTTATTTGTTTTTGTCCAGGTCAAGTATCAGGACAAAGACGTTATAGTGCGAGAAGGAGCTGAAGGAAACACTTTCTACATCATCCTTAAAGGAGAGGTAACGTCATGTGTATTTAAATGCGATGCCGGCTTCTTCCTGTGTGTGCACTCATTCTGTCCTCCTGGTTCTCCTGCTTTGTTTCTCCCCTCAGGTCCTGGTGACAAAGAACGTGAACGGGCATCAGAAGCAGATTCGCAGGATGGGAAAAGGGGAGCATTTCGGGGAACAGGCCCTCATACGGTAACCATGGAAACACAACACATGCCTGAGGACATTTGTGAGAAGCTTGTGCA